TCCACAAGATGAAGCTACATCATAAGATGGCAGAGCAATAGGCTAGGAGATCGGCCCGGACAACTGTGTGTAGCAAAGCTACCTGATCAGCTAGCTCATGCTTTTCCACTGGAAAGAAAGAAATTTCATTTTTTTAAGGCTACAATTATATTTAATTTCTCGATCACAGTAGCCCAATCTATCTCTTAACTAATAGAAATTCCAAACTAAGAAGTGTTGGGTTTTGTCAATAATATAATGGCATATAAAATGTTTTTTTAAAAAAGAATAAGAGTGGCTAAATTAGGGCAGGGCTGTAAGCATAGAAAGATGAGGAAGAAAGCCATTTTGGAGACTAAAGCTATAGAATATCCAGTTGGAGAAAAGAGAGATATGAGTATTTGAAGTTTTAAATCTGAGCCACATACAAGATACCTATACCATTACTCCCCTAAGAAACATAAAAGAAAAAAAGAGTTATAAACAAACTGAGTAGATCTAACAGTCCCAAAGGCTGTGAGAAATGTGTTAAGTGCTCAGGAGAGTAGAATTTGATATAGATTTAGGGTCATTTGCATTAAAATGATAGTTTAAGGAGCAGGAACAAAGGGAAAAATCACAGGTTTACCTAGAAAAGGATCCTTCTGTCTTCTAATAAAAGCAAAATATAATCCTAGCACTACAGGAGGCTGAGGAGGGCAGATTGCTCAAGGTCAGGAGTTGGAAACCAGTCTGAGCAAGAGCAAACCAACCTGATCAAGAGCAAGACCCAGACCCCATCTCTACTAAAAATAGAAACAAATTAATTGGCCAACTAAAAATGTATATAAAAAATTAGGTGGGCATGGTGGCACGTGCCTGTAGTCCCAGCTACTCAGGAGGCTGAGGCAGTAGAATCGCTTGAGCCTAGGAGTTTGAGGTTGCTGTGAGCTAGGTTGATGCCACGGCACTCTAGCCCACGCAATAAAGTGAGACTCTGACTCAAAAAAAAAAAAAAAAAAAAGCAAAATATATAATGCTTCACATTTTCTTCTTTAAATGAAACAATCTGTGTGTTGTACATATTTATCTAACACACATTGTCAGTTAATGGAAATCCTCATGATTCAGGCGTTCAACTAGTTATCATTGATTAGCTCAACACCACAAACTACAGTGATCATTTTGATCTTTATACAGTTTTAAATCAATTTTTATTTTTAGTCACATTATTTAATTTATCCCCATAATGAACCATATTGGTTTAAAACCAGAAAGGTGATAGTGAAATGCACAAAATTAATTAAGAATATAGAAACATTTCTGCAAAGTCATTCATTTCGAAATATTGCCCCAAAAAGACATTTTATTTCAAAGGTCAGGAAGGTATTTTTACTACTTCAAAAATAATTTTAAAAAGAGGAAATGATTAGGCCAGGCGTGGTGGCTCATGCTTGTAATCCTAGCACCCTGGGAGGCTGTGCGGGAGGAGTTCAAGACCAGCCTGTGCAAGAGCGAGATTCCATCTCTACTAAAAATAGAAAAAATTAGCCGGGCATGGTGGTGTATGCCTGTAGTCCCAGCTACCTGGGAGGCTGAGGCAAGAGGATTGCTTGAGCCCTGGAGTTTGAGGTTGCTGTGAGCTAGGCTGATGCCACAGCACTCTAGCCTAGGCAAGAGAGCGAGACTCTGTCTCAAAAAAAAAAAAAGAGGAAATGATTATTATATGCAATTTGGTTTTTCAGTTACTAAAAACACCTACCATTCTAAATGTGGTTTTTAGAGAGAAGTAAAATCTTCATTTATCATTTATTTATTTATTTATTTATTTTCAGACAGAGTCTAGTCTCACTTTGTTGCCCAGGCTAGAGTGAATGCCATGGCATCAGCCTAGCTCACAGCAACCTTAAACTCCTGGGCTCAAGCGATCCGATCCTCCTGCCTCAGCCTCCCGAGTAGCTGGGACTACAGGCATGCGCCACCATGCCTGGCTAATTTTTTCTATATATATATTAGTTGCCCAATTAATTTCTTTCTATTTTATAGTAGAGATGGGGTCTCACTCTTGCTCAGGCTGGTTTTGAACTCCTGACCTTGAGCAATCCACCTGCCTCGGCCTCCCAGAGAGCTAGGATTACAGGCGTGAGCCACACGCCCAGCCTTCAATTATCATTTAGATTTTTAAAGTAGCAAATGCAAGAATTCCAAACAGATCCTGAAAGTAGTTATTATTGATTTTTATGCTGTTATATAAACAAATTTTAATCTATGTTATGTCACAAAACACTACATTCATTTAAAAGATGTTAGCAAATTTTTTCTTTTACAATTGAACAGAGTATATCACTTCAAAATGGGACAAAATTTTTTTTTTTTTGAGACAGAATCTCACTCTGTTGCCCTAGCTACAGTGCCATGGCATCAGCCTAGCTCACAGCAACCTCAAATTCCTGGGCTCAAGCAATCCTTCTGCTTCAGCCTCCCAAGTAGCTGGGATTACAGGCATGTGCCACCATGCCCGGCTAATTTTTTCCATATATTTTTAGTTGGCCAATTAATTTCTATTTTTAGTAGAGATGGGGTCTTGCTCTTGCTCAGGCTGGTTTCGAACTCCTGACCTTGAGCTATTCTCCCACCTCGGCCACCCAGAGTGCTAGCATTACAGGCGTGAGCCACCTTGCCTGGCAGAAAATAGGACAAATTTAAACTTGTATATACCATGAGATTTCATTGGAAAATAATCTTTAACATACCAATCTACTGAAAATCAGTTTTAGTCATTTAACATAGTTCATGCAAAATGACATTTTAAAAAATTCCTGAAGATCTTCAGATTATATATTATGAAATGTAGAGGACTGTATTCTTCAAAGAAAGATCTGAAGATACTTACCTATTTTTAAATTGCTTATCTATTTCAAAGTACAGAACATATTTGTGCAATATAGTAAATTTAAAGTATCTTAGGCCAGGCACAGTGGCTCACACCTGTACTTCTAGCACTCTGGAAGCTGAGGCAAGACTGCTTGAGCGCAGGAGTTTGAGACCAGCCTGAGCAAGAGCGGTGGCACGTGCCTGCCATCCCAGCTACTCACGAGGCTGAGCCAGGAAGGAGGATGGACAGTTTGAGCCCAGGAGTGTGAGTTTGTTGTGAGGATGACACCACTGCACTCTAACCAGGGTGACAAAGTAAGACCCTGTCTCCAAAAAAGAAAAAAAAAAAGTGCAGTACTTTGACTTTAAGTAATGTTTAAACAAAGAAACTAGAAAAACAATAAATTTTCTTCAGCAGAAGAGATTTAAGGCACTGAGGTTAAGTTTGGTATTCATCTATTGGAATTTTATATGCTTTCAAGAAAACAATGGCAAATAGAGCATTACTGCTTGTGGGCTCATCTTAATTACCTAAATTTTTCTATAGTAAGATCTCATAACAGATTTCTAACAAAAAATGATTATGAATCTATCCTTAATATTATTTGCATGCACAAACTGGAAGCAAGAAATAAAATTAATCCAAATTGAAAGTCAAGTTTTCCAGAAAATAGGTTAAAAAATTATTTTTCAGTTAGGCTAAAAACATGTATCCTCCATACCTCCCAATTACTGCATTATTTTATTCATTCATTCAACAATTACATTGTCTAATATATGCCAGGCACTTTCGTAGGTCAACAGATACAAATGTTTTAGCAAACATTTACTGAGCTCCTATCATGTCACTGTTTCTTACCCATAGATCTCTCACCTGATCCTGATAAGACGGCTTGTATTAACACATACTTTAGCCATCAACTCAACACTAAATTATCGATATTTGAACTTTTGCAACTTAGGTTTCATAAGGCCCTTGGATTAAAAAGTAAATTAAAAAACAAAAGTAATTTTAAGTTTGTCAATTATTTTGTTTTGTTGTTGGTTTTTTGTTTTGTTTTGGTTTTTGTATTTCTGTCACAAAATGTCTACATCATGTACTGCTGACTGGACTAGGTCATCAACTGACCCTGAATAACTGAAAACTAAACTCCAAGCAATAAGATATGTATATTTGCTGGCTTCTCATGCGTGTCAAAAGTGCTAAAGCTAATCACAGAATATTATTAGCCTTTCGTGGGCTTGGTTTTCAGATCCGATAAATTTTTCCCCTCAAATGAGAAACGATGGGTACTTTCCACTTAGATTTAAAAAGAAGACAACGAGGTTTAATCCTCTTTCCTCCCACCTCCAAAAGAGTTCGTAAGTTAAGGTGCTTTCCCGACAAAAACCTCCTCCTGCTCCGTGACGAAGTAACCAACCATGTGTCACGGTAGACACAGATACCATTTGTAAATCTTCAACACATTGAAATCAGAGAAACCCAGATTTGACAAAAATGCTTCCTTCATTTCCCGTTTCTGCAGAGACCACCGTCTAGCTTTTAAAAAAAAAAAAAAAAAAACACCGCTGCAGCAATGCTTGGCCGCACGCTAATGATCACCACGGCCAAAGCGCAGAACTTGACGCCCACTTGGCTTTAAAGGGTAATTCTTGAGAAAAGCAAACAATTTGGCAGCCGCCGTCTCGCAAACGACAGAAGACGAGATATCTTTTGAACCTGAGGAAAGCGGTGAGGCACTCCCCTTCCCAAACCAGCTTTGTTCCTTTCTAAACCAGGCAGTCCATAAGCTAGCCTCCTTTGTCAGTACAAAGGGGGCGGAAGGTCAGAATCTTTCCGACATAGACTGCTCAAAGATCTCCCCAGATCCAAGGGACCAATGTTAAGGCATCAAAGCACTCGCCTAATCCCCAAATGACCAACAAACCATAGCCTGGAGTCCCTACCACCCCCATCATTCCTCGCTCTCCCTAGCCAAAGATGAGACTCAGGCCGAGAAAACCCATCTTTTCAGGCAAGTAAGAAGGCGTCAAGCCTCTTCCCTTATGTCCCTCCTCTCCCCCACACTTCCCCCTGAACCCCTCTACAACGACGAGCCGCTACGTACATTTCCAACCCCCAAGAAGCCCAGTCACAGCCACACACAAGATGGCAGCCCCACACCTACCGGAGGAAACAGCTGCGCCACCACTCCAGCGCTGCCGGTCTCTCCACTGCGGGTAACTCCATTGGCCCAACCAGCGAGCGCGAGATAAGCCGAGAGCACTGGCAGCCAATCAGAAGGCGGCGCGCTAGGGCGCCGCTGCGGTTCAGACGGTACGCGAGTAGAGCCTTTAAGGTGTGACTGGGTGGGGGAGGTGGCCAGTGGGCTCCTGGCCAGTACCTTTGGTGTCCGATTCCTCCCATTTAGTAATCGCGTTAGGTGGGTCTGAACATTAGAGGTGGCGCACTACCTCCTCCCCGGCTGAGGCGAGGAGAGACAGTTGCTGCAGAGAAGAGGGCTAGGAAACGAAGTACTTCCTGGCCAGAGGGCACCTGGGACCGTACAGTCTTGGCGGCGTGCAGTCGGAGAAGAGTCCAAGCGGCGGAGGAATCCAGCTTCGCCGACGGAGCGGGCGGAGTGCAGCCTTCAGGTTCGGTGTGGGAAACGCTGTGGAGCCAAGGCACGCCCTTCAGTGGCCCCCAGACAGTTCCTTTGGCCAGGCTGTCAGAGGACCTGAAAACGCTGCGGAGCCCTCGCGCTTGCATCCTTCCTTCTTGCACCCACGTGCAGTCCCAGGCTGGAGAAGGGACCGCGGGCACACTGAGTTCTCAACCCCCATTTCCATCTCTGTCTCTTGGTGCACACCTTAATGAAAGTTGATTGCTAAGCCGCTGGGAACCCGAGCCTGTAAAGGGGGCTGCAGGAAATGGATAGCAGTATAAAATCCAGAAGCAGAACTTCGAGGTTTAATCACTGACCCATTTCACAGGTAAGATTACACAAGCCCTAAATACAGCAAGTGAAATCATTTATCCAAGATCACGGAGTTGACATTAGAAACTAAGACTTCCTGACTCTAATCAACCACAATCCAATAAGTAATTACCCAATAAGTAATTAAATAAAGTGAGGAAAGCTATGTAATTGTGTTATTTGGCATTGGGAAACCTGCAATGAGTTCTGTAAATATTAATGCATAAAACCAAGGAGAATGGGTAACTTTGAGGCGATAGAATGTAGTAATCAAAACATGGGCTCTGAAACCAGGCTGCCGGGTTCCTTACTTAGCGTTTGCCACCTAAAGTATGATACGCCTCTTACCTTCCTCAGCAGAAAAACTGGCATGCTAGTTTATCCTACATGATTGTTATGCGGCTTAAATAGGTACACGTGAAGTATTCAAAAGCGTGACTGACACGTGGTTTATATTCAGTAAACGTCATTACTGTCATAATTAAAACATAAGGAACCGAGAAGAAGTAGTCATGGTATCTTAAGAGCCTATTTTTAAAAACAAAAGGAAACCATATACTGAAGTGAAGCAGACTGACAATTTGCCAAAATGAAAAAAGGGGAAAATGAACACATTTTAAAATCTCAAGTTACTCTGAAATATTAACACTGGCTGTCTCTGGATGATGAGAGTGTGATTTAAATTTTCTCCTTCATGGTTTAGTGCATTTTGCAAGTTTTCTTAAATATGTTATCTTTTGTAAGTTCACTTATTTCAAATTTTCAGAAGATGTGAACAACACTGGTGAGAGCTTTTTTTACATAAAACTATTACTGTGAGTGCTTAGGTAGGAAGTATAAGTTGGTAGAACATTTCTGGAAGGCAGTTTGACAATATGCTATAGAAGACTTTAAAATGGACAGTTCAAAATATTTTTGAAAACCTACATATACTAAATTTTTAAAATTAACTACATTTTTACATTCTCTTTTTACAAAATTAGAACCTTACAGATAAAGAACACAATCCAGAATCCCTGGATGTCTCCTCACTCTTCCTCCTTCACCCCCAACCCCACTGAAGACTTTGGTACAAAGCCTTCAAGTCCCTTTTTATACTTTTTAACACTTTTATATATTCTGTATATGTGCATATATGCATGTGTAATTTTGGGGGGTGGGGGGTAGATAGAGATGGCAGGTGAAAATAGGGTTTGGCTCTTGCTCAGGCTGGTTTCAAACTCCTGAGTTCAAGCAGTCCTCTCACCTCGGCCTCCCAGAGTGCTAGGATTACAGGCGTGAGCCACAGCTCCAGCCAACATTTGTAATTTTTTAATGGAAATAGTGCACTATATCATTCTATAGCTTTATTTCCTGACAGTGTTTTTGCAGTGTATGCATGTTATTTATAGCTCATTATAATATTTATGGACCATTTCTTTTACCTGCTGCATAGTATTCCATTATATGGCTGTTCTGTTAATGTAATATATTTCTTTGTCTCTTTTATTGGTTTTTATATTAAATCCTATTTTGTTTGATGCGTGTTTTATATATAGAGAGAACATTTTGCCCTTCTCTTGATGGACATTAGATTGTTTCCAGTTTTGCACCTTACAAACAATGCTGCAAGGAAAACTGTATTTTCTTTGCACATGTGCTATTTCTCAAGAATATATACCTAAAAGTGGAATTGCTTGATTTTTAAGTTATGGACATTTTTTAGTTTTACTAGGTCATCCTAAATTTGCCTCCAAAATACCTCTAATAATTTACACATCCCACAAGTAGTTTGAGATTAATTTCCCTACAATTTAGATCAACACAAGATATTATCTTTCCCTACAGTTTAGACAAACACAAGATATTATTTTTATTTTTGCCCATTTGATGGCTGAAAATGATACTCATTTTTAATTTTCATTCTATGATTTAAGGTTGGATTATCTATTCATATGTTTGTTAACTTATATAAATTTCCATAATTTCTTAAAAATCGTATTTTTCTATTGGGTCATCTTTTTGTTAATGATTTAGAGAATTCATTATGTGTCCTATTTATTGTGTATCTCGTATCATTTTAAAAATCTCTTATCTATGGTTAATTATGACTCCTTTTTTGTAGCTTTTTAAAAAATGTCACAAACATTTTCTCTTTACTCCTTGCTTGGCTTTTGACTTTACCTTTTGTTAGTTTTATTTATTTGTTCTACGGATAGATTTTTCACTACTTCTAATCTTTAGGTCTCTTTTTTTCTCTGAGACTTTCAGTACAATATTGAATAAGAATAGTGATACCAAGTGCCTTCATCCTGTTCCTGACTAATGAAAATGCTTCTAATGTTTCATCATTGACTATGATGTTGATGCTAGGTTTTGGTAGTCCATAAGATTAAGGAAGGAAGGTCTCTTTTATTCCTAGTTTGCTAAGGGTAACCCTCTTCCGTAGAATAGTTATTAACTTTAACTGTTTTGTTTTTCTGCATCTGAAACGATAGTTTTCCTCCCTTCATCTGTTAATATAGGAATTCACATTGATAAACTTTTCAAGTTAAACTTTTTGAGTATTCTTTGGATAAACCCTACTTGGTAGTAGTGTACTATCAAAGTATCTACTGCTAGATAACTTTATTTAGTATTTTTGTATCTACAGCCAAAAGTGATTTTGGCCTTGAATTTTTTTCCTTGTGTGTCAAGGTTATACTAATCTCATAAAAGAATTGAGTAGTTTCCCATATTTTTCCTGCTCTGTTTGTATGTGATAGAAATTATCCATTTCTTGAAAGCTTTGTACAATTCATCTGTAAAACTACAGAGCTGGTATTCTGAGAGTAAAAGGGTGAGGATGTGTGGCATGAAGCTCTGGTGAGATTTTTATTGTTTTAATTTTTTATACTTATTCATCTATGTGGGATTTTCACTTCTTGAGTCTATTTGGTAATTTATATTTTCCTAGAAAATTGTTCAGTTCGTTTGTGCTTTCAAATTCATTAGTATAAAATTGTTTGAACCTTAAAATATTTAAAAATCTCTCCAGTAGCTTTAGCTATATTTTCTCTTTGTTGTTATTTATTTTGTTGATCTTTTCCCAGCTTCTTTAATTGAATATTTAAGTCAATAATTTCAATTTTCTCTTTTCTAATGATAAAATCACCTAAGGCTTAAATAGCTCTCTGCATGCTGCTTTCCCAGAATCCTTCAGGTTTTGATACATTTCAACTGATTTCCATTTCTAAATTTATTTCAGTTTCTACTTTGATTTCCTCAATAAACTATAAATTATTTGGAAATTTGTTTTTTAAATTTCCAGAGGTAATGTGTGTGGGGGGGAGGTTAATTCATTAATGTTACTGATTTTGATTTTTACTACATTCAGTGACTGCTTTGTGTAACATTCCTTTGGAGCTTGTTGAATTTGTTTTGATCTAGTACGCAGTCAATTTTTGTAGATTCCATTCTTGCTCCCCAACAAAAATTATTTTCTATTGGGTGCAGAGTTCTATACATTTGTTGGATTAAGGTTGTTAATTTATCTCATTTAAATCCTTTATATCCTGATTTTTTGCCCAGTTTATCTGTCAGTTTCTGAGAAAGATTTGTTACATTCCCACTACATTTTGGATTTGTACATTTTCCTTGTTATTTCTTTGTTTTGCTGTATATATTTCAGTGATATTAATTGGTTTTCATATTAAACTCTTGTTTGATGTAACTATTTCTTATATTTGCTGGTGTGTCTTTTTTCACATCGCTTCATTGTCAACCTTTCTTTGACATTTTGTGTAATTTAAATGGATCTCTTATTTTAAAATATCATAGCTAGACCAATTGTGGTGACTCATGCCTGTAATCCCAGCACTTTGGCAGGCTGAGGTGGGAGGATTGCTTGAAGCCAGGAGTTTTGAGGCCAGTCTGGGCAAGATAATGAGACCCTGTCTCTACAAAAAAAACACACACACAAAAATTAGCTAGTCATGGTGGCACATGCCTATAGTCCCAGCTACGTGGGAGACTGAGGCAGAAGGATCACTTGTGGCCAGGAGTTGGAGGCTGTGGTGAGCTGGGATCTTGCCACTGTACTCTAGCCTGGGCAAGAGAGCAAGAACCTGTGTCAAAAAAAAAAAATCATAGCTAGGTATGATTCAATCTGAGAGTCTGTCTCAGATTGGTAGGGTTAGGTATAGATAAGGTTAACATATTTGCATTTATTGTGATTATTTACATATTTGGCCTTATTATCTTATTTCCTATGCTTCCCTTTGTATCTTTTATCTTTTTCCATTTTTTAAAATTTCAGCCTAGCCTCAAGTTTTCTTCTGTTTTCTTTAGTAGATTAACTTTATATTTCAACACAGTTCTTGAATTTATATTTTCCTAACAAAGTATAATGAATATTGATTTCCTCTCTATAAAGAAGAATTTAGCATGCTTCTACTTTCTCCGATCTTGCAACAACCTATTCTATCCCCCCTCAAAAAAGAACATAATTTCTCATGGTAATATCTTACAGCATTTTTATTTCATTTGCTATTAAAATCCATTTTAATCCATATTAACATTAATGTGTTTTACTCCTTTATTTGCTCACTATTGCTTCTTGTACGTCAGTACTTTCTTCAAGCTTCATTTTTCTTCATAGGGTACTTCCTTATTTCTTTTAGAGAGTCTCTGAGTGGCTCTTTAAATGTCTGAAAAAGTGTCCTTTTTTTCACCCTTGATATAGAAAGATAGCTTGGCAAGACATCTATCTAGTGGTTTAATTAAGAATTTTATCCTCCTTGGACTCAGTGGGCTTATGTGCTTTCCAGCTCTGAGAAATTCTTGGTCATTATTGTCTTCTTTCCATTGTTTCTTTGCTCTGTGTTCTCAACTCAAACTTCCAGTTTACTAAATGTTCTATTATTCAGTCATGTATTAAGTTTATTTCAACAGCTCTTTTTATATCCAAGATATGTAATATGTTATTTTTCAAAATTATATATTTCATGAATGAGTTTCCTTCTTTAGCTCTTTGAGGATATTAAATACAAACATTTTTGTTTTAAAATTATTTTCAGGATACTCTATTCCCTACTTGAACATAAGTCCATTGGTTTGGTGGGCTTGTTAAGTCTCTTTCATGATGCACCCACCTTCAGATGTTTACAGATTCCTGAGTTTTGCATTCCTCTCCTCTGAGAGGATTCCTGCCCATCTCTTTGCTGTTGTGATTGTGGTTGGTATCCTCTCTGCAGCTTCCCATCTGTTTCCTTTCCCCAGAGAAGCCTCACAAATTTGGTCCGTAGAGAGTTCCCTTTTTGTTTTCAGTGTGACTATATATTTTTTAAAATTTTCCTAACACTTGTATGAGTTTGGTGTGGAAGTGGAAGAAGAATTTACCATATGTTGACCAACATCTTGAGAATGAAAATTGCTGATCTTTTTTTGACCTATTAGTTCCATCTAGATGTATATCCTAGGGAAATAATCAGATATGCATAAAGTATATTTATTCTAGTATTATTTATTATACTGAAAAATAATCACAATCTAAGAAATAAAAACAGGCTGGGCGTGGTGGCTCACGCCTGTAATACTAGCACTCTAGGAGGCTGAGGCGGGAGGATCACTCAAGGTCAGGAGTTCAAAACCAGCCTGAGCAAGATCCTGTCTCTACTAAAAATAGAAAGAAATTAATTGACCAACTAAAAATATATATACAAAAAATTTTAGCTCTCTGGGAGGCCAAGGCGGGCAGATCGTTTGAGTCCAGGAGTTGGAAACTAACCTGAGCAAGAGTGAGACCCTGTCTCTACTATAAATAGGAAGAAATTAATTGGCCAACTAATATATATAGAAAAAATTAGCCTGGCATGGTGGCGCATACCTGTAGTCCCAGCTACTTAGGAGGCTGAGGCAGTAAGATCGCTTGAGCCCAGGAGTTTGAGGTTGCTGTGAGCTAGGCTGACGCCACGGCACTCACTCTAGCCTGGGCAACAAAGCGAGACTCTGTCTCAAAAAAAAAAAAATTAGCCTGGCATGGTGGCGCATGCCTGTAGTCCCAGCTACTAGGGAGGCTGAGGCAGGAGGATTGCTTGAGCCCAGGAGTTTGAGGTTGCTGTGAGCTAGGCTGACGCCATGGCACTCTAGCCTGGGCAACAGAGTAAAACTCTGTCTCAAAAAAATAAAATAAAATAAGAAATAAAAACAATCTAAATGTCCAATATAGAATTTTATGCTAATTAATAATTTATTAAAATTTAATTGTTAAAATATTTACTGTAATGCATGGATTATTGACCAAAGTACATTATATAGCCACTTAGTTGTATTATACAAAAATATTAATGACAGAGGAAAGTACAAGATATGTTATTAAGGAAAGATTATTAAAAAATTATTACACTAAAATCCAAATTTTGTTTTAAAATTATATACTGGAAGAATCACAAATTGCTAGCATTTATTGAAGCTTTCATATGTCAGACATTATTCTAACTAAGTCTTATCATCACAACAATCTCAGAGGTAATTGGCATTATTTTCCCCATAGAAAATGTTTTTATAAAGTATTTATAAAATGAGATAGCTTAATTGTTAACTAACAATATAAGGTGAATGTTAATTAACAAATATGTTAAATATGGGTGATAAGATTATAGGTGATTCTTCTCTGTAATAGTCCTGATTTTGATATTTTACACATTTTTTCCAGTCAATATGTATTTTTGTAATGGCTTATGCCATTTTTAAAGATAGAGCTATTGTTATAACCATATATTTTTTCCTTATATATCTTGTTCTTTACAGATATACACTACTCTTTGTTTTTCTTACAGAATGTTTCATGCATTTGTGGACCAAAGATGGAGTTGGTTTTTATTTTTAAAAAAGATACTGTCAGTGATCTGACACGACTATCAATATTCTCTTGAAGATGCACGGACTTGTCTTTGGGTTGGACTATTGGTCATTTCTGAAAGTTTCTTCAGTTACAGTTTCTATTTGAAAATTCAGGTATCAAAGGATATCAGGTTTAAGATGATATAATGATGTATTTTGTCTGAGGACTGCAAATTTCACAGAGACCACAGTTGGATTCCAGTTATATTCTCCAATCAAAGTGATTCATATCATTCAGTCCTTTAATAAGCCTGATGTTGAAGAGGCTTGTATTTATTAACAATACCAAAAGATGGGAGAAAAAAATGGTAAGTTGAAGAATACATTGTCAAACTTTGTTTAAAAGTATGTAGACAACTTAAGCTGAATTGTGGAATTTTCAAGATGTTTTATGCAAGTAACTTTTCTGAATTAGAGGGAATTAAGAGTTTATTCTCATATATCTACCAGTTTTGACTGTTTTATAATTAATTGTGTATCAGTAATCCCATGTCAGTACTTTAATGTACTTTTTAAAAAATAGACTTTAAAAAAAAAACTTTTAGTGTTACAGAAAAATTAAGAGGATGGTGCAGAGGGTTCAAATACACATAGTACCTAATTTCACCTATGATTAACATTTTACATTTGGATGTTACAATTAATGAACCAGTATTTACACATTATAAACTAAAGTCCATAGTTTATTCAAATTTACGTAGTTTTTACCTGTTGTCTTTTCCATTCTAAGATCCCATCCAAGATTCCACATTACATTTGCTTATCATGTCTCCTTGACTGTGAAAGTTTCTCAGACTTTTCTTGTTTTTGATATTTTGGAAGTTCGTATTCAAGTATTTTGTAGGATGCCCCTCCATTGGAATTATTTTCTGATGTTTTTCTCCTGATTTAACTGGGGTTTTTAGGGAATAAGATTATAGAAGTAAAATGCTATTTTCATAACATCCTGTCAAGGGTACATGGTAACAGCATGATTTCTCGCTGTTAATAATCTGCTTAATCACTTGTCCAACATAGGTAGTATTATCAGGTTTCTCCATTGTAAAGGTACTCCTTTTTTCCCCATTCCCCACTGTACTCTCTGAAATCACTATGCAACACACATTTAAGAGGTAGGGATTTATGTTTTCCCTACTTGAGAGCTGAATATCTATATGAATTATGTGGAATTTTCCTGCAAGGGAGATTTAGCTCTTCTTTCCCATGTATTTATTCAATCAATCATTTATTTATCTCAGTATGAACTCATGGATATTTATTTTATACTTTGGGTTACAGATCAGTATTCTTTATTTATTTTGTTCAAATTGTCCCAGGTTTGGCTGTTGGGAGCTCTTTCAGTTGGCTTGTGTCCCTTTGACATACCCTCATCAATATAGATGTTTGCTTTGTAGTACTTCCATATATATGTGTGTGTGTATATATATATATTGGTATTAGAACATGCTCCAGGTTCATCTTGTGTATTTCTTGGCCCAGGCATTTCTTAAAGTAACTCTGCTTTCTTTTTTCAGAAGATGGTATTAGAAACCAAGATCTAGGTGATAGGTTTGCTTGTCACTGGGATGTCCTGCTTTTAGGCCCTCAGCTGACAGAGCAAGAAAATACATGTATATGCTAACGCTAACACGCACACACACACATACCTCTATAAACATTTCTATATGTAATCATCTGTATCTGTATCAAGCTAAACATGAATTTATACTGATGTTTCCAACTCTAATCCATTACCACGTGAATCATTCTAGTCTTCTTTCCTTGCTCATCTATAAATTCACACTCCATTAGTGAGAAACTTAGTTCCTACCGCCCATCATCCATTTACTTAATTACTTAATTCCATTTTCTAGGTGGGAAAATGCCTTATCAATTAGATTATAGTACTTATGTGCAGTCCTTTTGCCTTTATCTTACAGATTTCATTCATTTCCAGAGTTACTTAGGTCAGCACCTTTTCTACCCAGCCCTTTAGCAAGTTGTTTATACATTTGTATAATAATACAGTTAGATTTTCTTTGCAGTCTACATTAATTCTATGGGTTTTGACAACTATATAATGTCATGTATCCATAATTGCAGTATCATACAAAATAGTTTCACTACCTTTAACATACTTGTAATGTATGGATTGTTATAAAGATCATAGTTCTAATTTCGCCAGATTATGATCTAAGCTGGTGGTTCTCAAACTTTTTTTTGGTCTCAGGATTATTTTATACTCTTTAAAGAGTACATGTGGGCACAGTGGGTCACGCCTGTAATCCTAGCACTCTGGGAGGCCTAGGCGGGTGGATTGCTCGAGGTCAGGAGTTCGAAACCAGCCTGAGCAAGAGCAAGACTCGTCTCTACTATAAATAGAAAGAAATTAATTGACCAACTAATACATATAGAAAAAATTAGCCGGGCATGGTGGCGCATGCCTGTAGTCCCAGCTACTTAGGAGGCTGAGGCAGTAGGATTGCTTGAGCCCAGGAGTTTGAGGTTGCTGTGAGCTAGGCTGACACCATGGCACTCACTCTAGCCTGGGCAACAAAGTGAGACTCTGTCTCAAAAAAAAAAAAAGAGTATATGTGGATATCTGTTGATATTTACTGTATTAGAAATTGAAACTGAGAAGTTTAAAAAAATATTAATTGGCTCATTTTTAAGAAAATAATAGATCCAACATGTTAAAAATGTAAAAAATAACTATTTTCTAAAGCAAAAATATTAGTAAAAAAGATAACATTGTTTTAAATTGTTACAAATATCTTTAATCCCTGGCTTAATAGAATAGATTCTCATTACTGCTTCTGCATTCAGTCTGCTATCATATGTTGCTTTGGTTGAATGTATTAAGACATTGAAGCTTCACACAGACAAGAAGTTGGAAATAGTCTTTCATATCATTGTGGATATTTTTCTTTATTATGACTCCAAAACTCAACAAGTAGTCATTCCTTCTAGGTTAGTTGCAGTGTGGTATCTGACATGTCATTGATGTTTTCTTACAATCTGTTACATTAAAATCCATGGTCTATCTTGCACTTTTCATGAGTCTTTTACCCATGTGTGATTCTACAATATTATGTAGTACCCACTTGTGCAATATTGGTTTGGTGAATTATGCAGATCTTCCAAATGTCGATAAATCATATAATTAAATTTAATCATATAATGTAGAAAAATCACATTTGTTAATATTGTTACTGACCTTATTAAAAAGCTGGTTAATTATTGAGAAACTTTCAGGCTGGCAGATGCAAGGTTTCCAAAATTCTGATTTCCACTTGGTAGCTTGAATTTTGTCATTAGCAACAAATACTGTCAGTTTTGTCCTTTAAGGGATAGGCTTACTTTGTTTATTGTCAAGAAACTATATGTCAAACACCCAAATCTGAAAATCCATAGTTTTATCAGTGATTCTTTTAAGTAAAAACAGTCTTCTATTTAAAAAAAAAAATCAGCTAGTTTAGCTGGTAAATCAAGCAATACCACTAGTGCTTTTCTTTGTACTGTAATGGCTGTACAAATGATTGTACTCATTTATGTTGCTTTATCAAAAATATTCTTAAGTGAAATTGATGGGAAAAGTCATAATGACTTACTAGTAGTTTGGTGCCACTACCTTGATTCATCCTAAGACACTAGCAGTTTTACTCACCAGTGCCTTTTTGTATTATCAGTTAATGTCAATACAATGAAAAAGGCAAATATATTAGTACTATTTCTGAAATAGCTTGGCCTCAGGAATTTGGGGATCTCCAGGGGTTCACAGATGACATTTTGCTGATCGCAGCCCCTAAGATGCCTTAAAGATCCTCTAGAACAATGCCCTGAAGCAGCTCAGTATGTATGTTTCTGTGTACTGAGGTCATTATCAATGTATTTGGTAAGTATTCCTTAAAATATTCATCTAGTAAATGAACTCAGATCAATATGATTCATGAGCATTGACTATTTACGGAGACTATCTTAAGTGAGATTGGGAGACATACAGTATAACCATACTATTTAACTATATTCATTCTTTACAAAGCTGCTATACTTCTTGCTATATAGTCTTGCAATAAATAGTCATATCTAACTAAAAGCAAATTTGAATAGACACTAGAGTTATCAGATGGCATTCTTCATTTCTGGAGTCAAATAGCAATATTAATAGTATACTGAATTGATCTTCAATTCAAGTGCCTTCTCTTATATTTCTTGTAAATATTCTTCTAGTGAAATACACTGAAATATCTACAGTTTTAGGTTGTAACTCTTAGCATGTGTACAATGTACAAATAAAGAGCAGAAGCAAGAAGCTAAAACTATTTGCGTTGAGGGTAACCATCTGTACAGTCTGCAGTTGAAATGAAAGTCACCCAAATTTTTCTTCTTGTGATACTTATTTAGTCTCTCCGTGCACAGTTGTTAACTGGATCTATTAGTTTCATTTATCAGAAAGTTTGGTTACCTCTTTCCTTAATATTACTGTGGCCAAAGGTTTCTATAGCAAGAAGACAAGGAAAAATGATCAAGGGAAGATGTGAGGAACAAGTGCCATTTTAATGAGCATTAAACCTTCTTATGGATAATAAGGATGTCATAAGGAACAATATATTTAAAACCCAGAACTAATAAATATGAATTGCTTAGTTATATTCATTTATTATAGAACCAGGTAGTTTCACTATTTTCTTTGATTACCTTTGCTTAAGTTTTATTGGCAGTGTTCTCTTTATTAGTCCACGACTAAGCATTTACTGTTTATTTTTTAAATAATTCATTTTAAGTATTTCCTATCAGAATAATTTAGTAGCATGTATTGGCATTTCTAAGACAATTTTAAATGATAGTCACTGAAAAATAAAACTACAGTGAGTCAGGATCACTGCTTTTTTTCAGGCCAGGACATAGTTAAATATGATACCAGAAGATTTGAATGCTGCCAAAAGCTATTTTTAAATGCTTTGAAAATCCTTCCCCTCTAGATTTCCACCTCTAACAAAGATAAATCCCTAGTATGTGGTATTGAGTCATGTGCATGAAAAGAAATGTGGTAACAATAATTCATTAACTGCTTTGAAAATAATTTTCCCTAAAAGCAGTGATTTTTGTTGAACTTAATGATTTTAGGGACCCTGAGAAATCCCTGCTTCACAAAATATTTTTCTCTCTAAGAAGAATGATCTCTAAAATTCCACAATGAAAGATTATTTCCTTTAGCTTAAGACTATTCCATGTTAAGTAATATGTAGTAACTGCTTGCTGACTGCTACATGCTTATCTACACATCAGCTCTATTAGGTAGATACTACTGTTACTCCTCTATTTTATAGATATGGTTACATATCTAAAAATAGCAGTACTGGGGTTCAGACCCAAGTACATCTGAACTCCAAACCCTAGATCAGGCGTCCTTGAACTACGGCCCGAGGGCCACTTGCGAGCCGCCTTAGCACATTTATCTGGCCCTCCAGGTGTTTTGGGTGTTTTTGCCACTGCTGCCTGTCCTCCTTAGCAGCTGACTCGTCCCGGACCCACAGTGCGCACTCTCCAACAGTCTGAGGGACAGTGAACTGGCCCCCTGTTTAAAAAGTTTGAGGACCCCTGCCCTAGATTGTTAATCACCACTCCTGTTTTTTCCTTGCCCCCTGAGGTACTACTCTGCTGGGTTCCCTTTCTACCTTCTTGGTGTCTGTGATTCCTTTTCCTTGTATTCATCCCTTACGTGTTGGTGTTCTACAGAAGACCCTTTCTTTTTATTCTGTACATTCTCCCTAAGGAATCACATCTACTCTGTGGTGCTTCAGCAAGCATTTGTATGCTAAATGACTATAAAATTTCTGAACCAACTCTTGCTCTGGAGCCTATGTATCCAGTTTGCTCAATGAGCCTCTCCCTACTTGAATCTCCCACCTGTCTATCTTTATTTCCTACCTAAAGGACATTTTTATCCATTTTTATCAGCATTTTTATCCATGTAGTTGCCCAGTGGAGAAAAATGGCAGTCATTTTTGACTCCTCCCACTGCCACCTGAGTAAACGTATCTAAAGGCATAAGGTGCTTACATCTCTTGAGTAGCTTTCCACATAAAAGTAAAATTGACATGGCACACAAGACCCTCCATGTCATGGCCTCTACCTGCCTCATAAGCACCAGTTCTCATTCATTTTATCTTCTCACATTGCATTTGTTTCAAATCTTGAAACCTTGTCTTAGCTGTGCTATGGGGAATTAAAAGTAGGCTTAGTCTTATGTAGTACACATCAAACCCCAGTGTTAACAGGGAAATAGCATCCCTCCTGAGGCTACTGTTTTGGCAGCAGCCCTAATTAGCCAGAGATCTCCTTTGGGTAAGGTGACTTTCCCAGTGGTAGTTGGAACTCTAATGTCTACATCTTTTTTCCTTATGAAGATTCTCCCTCCGTTCCCAAACTTGGAGGTTCTGGGTTTAATTTTTATTAAGGAAAATGTATTTTTTGTAAACTGTCTGGACCCTCTGCTCATTAATTCTCCCAATGCCTACTCAAATGATCTTTCTAAAATGTATTATATCCCTCATTTACTTAAGGCCCTATTAATTAATTTTAAATATTTTTACACATTTTAATATTTTATAAATTATGCTTAACATTTTAAGTATTTTTGTTACTTTTAAACATGGTGTTAAGTGTTAAGATTTGGCTTTTTCCAGTTTATCTTAATTGCCTTTCATATTTCTGTTTTCAATTTTGAAAGAATTATTTGTCTAGGAAAATGTTGATTAAGGTGTTAGCTTGCTGGGCATCAGAAATGTTGACTTATATGTATAACTTTACCTGTAAAGTAAAGTTAATAATAAACACTTTTTAAAGAACAATTTTGTTGGACATTTAGTTATTTCAGTAATCATTAAGATGTTTTATTCTGAAACCATACCCAGTGGAGGTTATATCCCTGAAACTTAAAAAAATGTATCTGTATGTATACATACACCCCTCTACCACTCTAGAGGGAAGTCATTTTTCTGCTTTCCAGTCAAGAAACAATGTCATTAAGTTTTCAATATGTATTTTAAAAATTAGCAGAAATAGGTGCCATACTTAGATCATATTCTTTGTGTCTAGTTCTTTGTAAGGAAAAAGTGATAGACCAGTTGAATCTTGATTTTATTTAAAAACCAAATAGGTTTTTCTGAAACATGTGCCTGAGGGAAATTACAGTATATTTCTTTTAAACTCTTAGGCAAGTTACTTATTTTTATTACAGATGATGCAAAAACTTTCTGGATGGAGCTAGAAGATGATGGAAAAGTGGACTTCATATTTGAACAAGTGCAAAATGTGCTGCAGTCACTGAAACAAAAGATCAAAGATGGATCTGCAACAAATAAAGGTATGAAGTAATAAAAACTTTAAATATGTTTAATACTAAATATTACCCTTTGACAGCACAGTATCATTCTATTTCTAATATTGTTTGTAATATTAGGTAAATATACCTGTTTGTGAATAATCCCTACTGAATTTATTTATTTGTATCTCAAGCTTCTTTTTTACCTTTGTGTCTTTTAGGGGAGAATGTTGCAAAGTAATATCTGCTCATTACATGACATTTGTCACTTAAAAAATATATAATAAAGAAAAATTATCCGTTACCCTATCATTCAGAGACTAGTTTTTTTATGTATTAAAGTATATATAACTGTAAAGTATATATAACTGCCTGCTTTAAACAGAGCTTGCTCCGCTAGTCTTTTTTTTTTTTTTTTTTTTTGAGACAGAGTCTCACTTTGTTGTCCAGGCTAGAGTGAGTGCCATGGTGTCAGCCTAGCTCACAGCAACCTCAAACGCCTGGGCTCAAGCAATCCTGCTGCCTCAGCCTCCCAAGTAGCTGGGACTATAGGCATGCCCACCATGCCCGCTAATTTTTTCTATATATATCAGTTGGCCAATTAATTTCTTTTTTTGTTTATAGTAGAGACAGGGTCTTACTCTTGCCCAGGCTGGTTTCAAACTCTTGACTCCGGAGCAATCCGCCTGCCTCAGCTTCCCAGAGTGCTAGGATTACAGGTGTGAGCCACCGCGCCCAGCCTTCACTAGTCTTTTGAAAGCAAAATTTGTGTTCTACATAGGCAGTCAGTTCAGGCATCCAAGTTTTTATTTTTTTCTCTTTGTCTTCAACCCTGTTTGGTTGTAGAACATAAGACTTTAATGTGAATCCTCCTTGACTACATCAGGACATAGGGTTTTTGTTTGTTTGTTTTGAGACAGAGTCTCACTGTGTTGCCCAGGCTAGAGTGAGTGCCATGGTGTCAGCCTAGCTCCACAGCAACCTCAAACTCCTGGGCCCAAGCGATCTCCTGCCTCAGCCTCCCGAGTAGCTGGGACTACAGGCATGCACCACCATGCCGGCTAATTTTTCTCTATATATTTTTAGTTGGCCAATTAATTTCTTTCTATTTTTAGTAGAGACGGGGTCCGCTCTTGCTCAGGCTGGTTTCGACTCTCCTGACCTTGAGCGATCCTCCCGCCCTGGCCTCCCAGAGTGCTAGGATTATAGGCATGAGCCACTGTGCCCCACTGGACATAGGGTTTTAAAGCAAATTTTCCCCAGACTATTCTTAGTACTTTCTGGATATTCTTTTTTTTTTTTTTTTTTTTTTGAGACAGAGTCTCACTTTGTTGTCCAGGCTAGAGTGAGTGCCATGGTGTCAGCCTAGCTCACAGCAACCTCAAACCCTGGCTCAAGCATCCTCTGCCTCAGCCTCCCAAGTAGTTGGGACTACAGGCATGCGCCACCATGCCCGCTAATTTTTTCTATATATATTAGTTGGCCATTAATTTCTTTCTATTTATAGTAGAGACGGGGTCTCCTCTTGCTTAGGTTAGTTTCGAACTCCTGGACTCAAACAATCTGCCTGTGTCGGCCTCCCAGAGAGCTAGGATTATAGGCGTGAGCCACCGCGCCTGGCCTGGATATTCTTAGACAATCTATTATGTGCTTATCAAAAAAGTTGCTACTGTTTTTTTTAATGTTCCTTCTCAATCCTTCATGAGTCAAATACATGTAGGTTTGAATCCAGTTCTATTCCTAGCTGAACGACCTGGAATAAGTAGTTTAACCTCTGAGCTCCGGTTTCCTTATTTCTGATACAGAGATTAAATGAGATAAATTATATAAATTGTTTGGCACAATAGCTGGCACCATGAATAAGGTGGTGCTGTTTTTATTTCTTTTGATGATGCTGTTTTTATTTCTTTTCTTCTTTCCTTGACAGAATACATCCAAGCAATGATTCTAGTGAATGAAGCAACTATAAGTAAAAATTCAGCTTTGATAAAGGGTATGTACATCTCTAATCCCAATCTAGAGTATTCTCTGTATTTTCTTGCCATGAAGCAGGCCAGCCTTAATATGTCAGGTTAATTAAAGATACTTTAAAATAAAATGTAGGATCCACATTGCTAAATTATTAATATCAGTCACAGTTTTCTCTATTAGAGGAAAAGTCCTCTATCCAGAGATAGGAAATGCGCACCAATCTAAGAATCCTAGGGAAAGAATGAACAAATGTGCCATCTTCAAATAATTTCTCTATAAAAGGAGCAAATAGAACTTAACCTTAACCGTATAAAGGTGGAAGAACACTATTAGAAAGGTATATTCTGATATAAAAGTTGTGAGTAATTTCTAGATTTTTAGACCATAGTCTTCCAAGCCCTAAACAAATTAAATTTAGAAGAATCAGTGATAACATATTAAAGTAAAACTTGTTTCTCTACTCATAATACTTCTCCTGCCAAATATGTGGGGTTTCCACACTAAGCAATTCTCTAATTTTCTGTGGACACCAATGGGGTATCCTACAATTTAATTCAATTCTGACACTACCCAAATTTAGCACAGACCCCACAGGTTAAGGGCTCAGACCCACAAAACTTGTTCCCTTCTGCAAATGCCAGTCATCAGCCCTGCACCTCTGGTACTCTAACCGACTTGGCTACAAATCAGGGATTCACACAACCCCCCTATGGGTTTCTAATTTGCTATAATGTCTTGAAGAACTCAAGGAAGGACTTTATTGCTGTTACCAGTTTATTATAAAGGATGGTATAAGGCTACACAAATGAATTGCCAGATGAGGAGATACACAGGGCAAGTCTGGAAGGACCCTGAGTGCAGGACCTTCTATCCCTATGGAGTTTTGGGGTACACCACCCTCCAGTATGTGGATGCATTCACCAACCTTAAAAGGTCTCTGAATCCCATCAGTTAGAGGTTTTATGGCAGTCTCATTATAGGTATTGTTGATTAAATCACTGACCATTGGTGATTGATTAGCTTGATTTCCGGTCCCTTCCTCCCTAGAGATGGGGCAGGGTAGGGATAAAGGTTCCAGCCCTCTTAATCATGCCTTGGTGGAAGTGCCTTGGTCTTCTGA